CTGGGGTGAGCGAGCATGTGCGTGAGGCATTCACAATCTGCGGCTTTCCAGGCTCAGTGTTGTACCTACATTTCGAGGGTGGTTAATTTCTGCAGTACGTGCCCGCCCAGTCTGAGGTGACATCGGTGTCAGCTCGTGTACTTCCCAGCGTGGTATATATTCCGCGAAGCCAAAGCAGAAAGTACTTCATGAAGCAGGAAGTCAAAGTACCGCCGTACCGAAATGGAAACACCCAAGGAACGGCATCCTCCCGTCTACAAAAGTAATGCAAGTATTCAATACCTGAGCACACTGAGCTACCTTACCTTAGGTAAGACGCAATGTGTTTTTAGACGCTCCTTCCCAATCCTTCCTCAATTCCAATGGCAGGTGCAACCATATCGGTTTCCTTAGAGTTGAGACACGAACAATTCACTCATCATCTAAGCGTGAGATAGAGCAGGCACGCAAGTTCACACATGCCAAAGATCATAAGGTACCTAGACAGCAAGATAAGGTAAGGCAGGTAGGAATGAGCCAGAACGCCAGAATGCTTGGCCCCCACGTTATGGACAGGCAAGACAGGCAAGACGGGCAAGACAGGCACGAAAATGAAGGGCGAGTGCGAGCGCGAACCTGCGAGAGGGAGAAACAGCGCAAGTCAACTTGCTTTTCTGCACTTGCTTTTGATGTATTTTCCATGTGCCTTCGAGCCTTAGATACCCTTAACCTTCTTGCTGTTTCTCAACTCTGTCGCAATGCATTTCCACCGCCTCTTCCTCCATTGTTTTCACCATATGGACCATGGTTCTCATCTGTCCACCACTCACCCCCCTTCATCATCAAACAGCAGCTAGACACACTATCTCGGACTCGCACAAGAACCCGTGCCTGACCATCACTGCGCACCCTATTTGCCCATCCTATCAGGCTGTCTCCCCATCTCGCCCCAATATACCCCATCCACAGTGGTCATTATGCCATCCCGAATCCCGTCTGTCGCTTGTCCTTTTCCCTCATGTTCGTTCGCTTCCCTGTCAATCTCATCCCCTGCTGGCCTGCTCTCCTCTTCCGCCCCGTCGGTCGCGTGCCTAACCCCTCGGTCGCTTGTCGCCGTATTAGCGACACCCGCGTCTTGTCAACATATCGCGCATCACGATAGACCTCCCAAGTCGAGTTAGCCGGTCCATAACTACCCCAAACATTGCCCAAAAGCCTGGGTAGCCCCTCTTGGATAGTTACCAACTCATCATCATGTCCGATTTTCCCGCGTCAATCCGTTCCGAATCTCTACCCAGACGCAGCAGGCCACGAGTCTTCAGCCGGGACTGAGACAGGTCCAAGTCCTGGTCCATGTCCATAGCCCCAGACGATGCCCCTCCCCTCCCCAGAATCTCCTCACTCTACGGATACATACACGCTTCATCCGACACCTTCCCAACCCAGTCGAATTCCAGCTCGCCGAGCCAGGCGGAGGACTCTCACTCCAGACCTCCCCCGTCCCCCTGAATTGCCGCTCGATCCCAACGGCTGTCACCCGATTCTCCCTTGCTTCCAGCCAATGTAGCCCGACCTTCAGAGTTTCACAACGTGTGCAGATCTGTTAAATCACTCACGTTCACGACTGTGTTACTTCACTGCCATGAGATTTTCCATACTTGTCAATCCAAGTTCTCTCCTTTGGACCGGGCCTAGATGCCTCGATGTCGACCTGTCTTGGCCGTTCAATCTAGGTATCCTTCTCGCTTCACAGAACCCCCCTCTTCAAAAGTCCCGCCGCCTCCGGAATTTCATACCAACCCCATACGGTCTCTCGATGTGGTGTAGTTCGTCGATGGCGCGGCCCCCTCTTCCCCTCCACCTCCACGAATCCAGTGTGTCGGCTTGTGCCCCTCGTCGGCTGCAACAGCACCTGCAGCACCGCACCGTGGCCTGTACAACATGGCTGCCCAGAGCCCTACAGACGGGTTTCCCTTCTTTCTTTTCTGCCCTACCCGTACGACTCAACTCGGGCATGGGTTGCCGGACTGCAGACTTGAGACTTAGAGTTGGTGAATGAAGGGCAGGTCTCCCTCCGTCTTCATTCCCTCAAAGTGCAACATATCGAGAGGCTCTCCGCGCCAAGACCTGATGATGCGTAGGTACTGCATAGAGAAGACTTCCAATGTGCCGCCCAAGAGTCTTGGAGAGTCTTGGTCGATCTTTGTCCGGCCAAGTGCCAGCGCGGGCCAAGACAAGCGGCTCGTGCCATCTGAACGTCACCTCAACCTTACAAGAGTAGCGTACCTTAGGCTCAAGGTTGCAGAGGGACTAACAAACGATGAACTGCCAACCGTTCCCATCTTGGCACGGGCAAGCCTCGTCATCAAAACACCCTCCATTTTTGCCCGGCTCTGGTTTGGTAGCTGCTGAGCTCCCAATCATAGCACGAGTGGTGGTATTCTCCCCAGACTCTCAGCTTCTTTCGAGAGCCGGCAGTAGCAGAGACAGATGATTGATGGTCTTGGGACAGCAAACTACCAGACGGCCCCTAGACGAATCGCTTGCCAGGAACAGAACAAGCTCAATAATTCAAGGTCGGCGGCCCCTCCGATGCTGAGGTAATGGAGCCAGTCGCCAAGTGCTCGAGTACCTAGACGTGCTGTGATGAGGAACTCTCTTCACCTCAGTCTTCGGTGTCACACTTACTGTGCCTGGTTTGCTTTACACGCATAATTTGAATAAAGAGGCTGGATAAAGATCATATTGGACCCGGTGTACATGTAAGTTTTCCTATTCCTTAGCCTCCTGTGTTCTGAGCCTTATACGGCAAAGACCTGCTGCATAGGTAGTGACCTAAAAATTGCATGGCGCTAGAACGCGGTGAGCGAAAACCTGGTGGAGCATGGGCCGTCTGGACGCCCCAGCGATCCAAGCTTCAGGCTTCAGCTCCTACGGCCTACCGTCGTGCCGTCGTCAATCCCACTTAGACGGGGCGGCCACGACCAAGTTTCTCGACACTCTCTTTCCGAGGTCACTTCCGTCGGGCCCAAATTCAATTCAGCCGAAATCACTCAGTCGAATCATACCAAAGCCAAAACAAAACAAAAAACAAAAGGTGATACAGGCAAGCTGACACTGGGTGTAGCGGCTCACTCAAAATGAACATGCGCGAAGACGGATGAGGCCAGCAGGACATCCAACGATCGGCCGGTTTCTGCAATGCCGCTTGTCAGCTCACGCCCATCTTCGTCAGAATGACTCTCGCGTCTCTTCCACAGCCTCTTCTTATTCGCTTTGCTTCCAGTCTCTATTCCATACGACATGGCCCCTTTTTCTGCAGTTCGCTGACGTCCAAGGCAGCGAGAAGCAAAAAAGCCAAGTCAAATTTCGGCTTCGATCCGTCTGCACAGCATCGGTTCCAGGACCCGGAGCCTGCAAGCCAAGCCAAACATTCGAGGCCTCCGGCAGAGAGAAAGCAAATGATGAACCGTACTCTAATTAATGACCCTTATTGATCCCATTCCCTCCTGAATCTCCAAGACTTCTCAGCCATGCCAGCAAACGTAACCACCCACCCACTCGTCAACCCTCCTTCAACTCAACACCCGTCTTGGCCTTCCATCTTTCGGTGGCTGCCCCCGGCTTAGCCTTGGGGTGGAGGGGGGAGGCTCCAGTTATGACGCAGGGCTCAGCGCTCACCACCGCCCACTACGCCAGAGTGAAAGGAGCAGCTACGGCCTTTTTTGCTTCGATCAAGGCGGCATGCCCCAGCGATGGCAGGGCCAAGCGACAAGCCTCGAGCTCTTTTTTTTTCGGCCGGATACCCGTCCGCGTGGAGCTAAACTGGGGCGCTCCCGATTCCCGAGGGCCCCGACGCGGACGACATTGATTCCTTTTTTCGAATACTTTTGTTCTATGTCCTAGGTGGCATCATCCTCCATCGTTAGACTAGATACCTACCTAGTTGTGGTTCCCACTCCATTTTGTCATCCCAAGTGTTTTTTTGACGTTTCCCACGGATACTATCACACTAGGTAATGTGCCCGGCCTGTAGGTAGTCGATACTAATCACCGATCGATGGCTCGTCTAGCCGCCTCTGGTGTGGGATAGACGTATGTAGGTGAGGTCAGGCTGCTTTAGTTCGCTTGCTGCGACTTGTGAGGGGCGGCGTCGTAGCATTGAGTTGAGGCTGATTGTCAGTACTTACTGAGCGAGGCGTATCTCAGCTCTCAGTGAAGCTGTCCCGACGTCGATATCAAGCATGCCTACCTTCCTTACCTTGTCATCTTGAGGCCGTAGTCTGCCGTGACATTTGAAACAACTTTATTTCGGGATTTGTAGTCCATTGTATCATATTCCTTACAATTTCTCTCGGCCATTCGACTACACTCCAAGGCACACTGCGTTGTCCGAGTCTGGAAGTCGTCATACTTGCCGTGGGTACTACGCCGCGGTCAGTTTGTACTACGGTTTGATCAAGTAGATCATATTCATGTGTCAATATCAAGTACATGTCATGCCCATCTCCCAAAACAAGCATAGACGTTACGTATACCACAGGAATACAATGCGGTAAACTGCCAACGCGGGATTGCTTGTACTTGCATCATCACTTGAACGACGTTCGTCTTTCCTGAACATCAATTTGGTTTCTTTCCTCGGCTCAAGAGACCCCATGGAGATGAGGGGACGTTATAGAACGTTCACTGCAATGGATAGATGTCTGCATGTGAAGGCCGAAGACAATGGAGTCGATCATTGTGTATTCGTCCAACAAACTTTGGGGAGAGCTCTCGCATGAGAAATACACTTTGCCATTGACGTTGACATTGACGGTTGATCAGGTAGTCGATACTGAGATTTCTCTCGGTATTCATCTTGCTATTCCATCGAATGAAGACCCCAGAGAAAGTAACTCTATATTGAACGAGCAGCATCGCAACCCATTCCAGAGTTGCAACATATCCATCACCAGGAACCCGGCGATCCACGCATCTTCAGGACAAACACATTGTGCTTTGGTATTCACTCACAACCTTCACAACCCCATCCTCCTCACCGGACCGCTGCTCCTCCTCCTCCTCCTCCTCCTCTTCCCAGCCCCCATCATCTTCACACTCTCCGCCCAATCCCCCGTCCCATTCCCCGGATCCGCGTCCGTCGCCTTCCTCTTACAAACACTCCCCGCTCTAGCCTTCCCATTCGGCCCATCCACGGCCTCAAACTCCCTCTTACTCTTCAACCCGGTAACCATGGTCTTGGCCGCCTCCTCGAGCCACCCGTTCACAAAGTCCCCGTGAAAGCACCGACTCCCGCCGCACGCGAGCTCGATCGGCGGGTCCCCGCCCTTCCAACCTTCGGGAATCGCTTTCTTGGTGTCGTAGCGTATACTAAACCGCAACTGCGGCATCCTCTTCATCCCACCCGCACACGCCCCACTCTTCTTATCAGAGTAGGCAGATTGGAGGGTGGTTTCGTCGACGCAGTCCGGGAACCAGAGGACCGCCTGTAACGAAGTCGAGCACGTGCTCTGAGGAAACTGGGCATGGTCTTTGCCGCCCGCGTCGAACGCCTGGTTCTGGCAGAGCCAGGTCACGTCGGAACCGGGAACCAGGTCCGCTTCCGTCGAGGCCTTGGAGTTGCCCGCCACGACGGAGAAGTGTGGGGGGATGGGCACCTCGGCTGGGTCCTTGTCAAAGTTGTAGTAGGCCACGAAGGAGACCGGTTCGATGGGCGTTCGGGTTTCGCCTTGGACGTGGTAGAGGGTGGGGATCCCTGACGGAAAGGGGGTGTGTGTGTAAGTTGGAGGGTTTGCTTTGCTACAAGGCCAGGAAAGATGGGACTCTCCCCAAGGAGATGAAGACATGTACCAGAAAGGAAATGGGAAGATGGCAAGAAAGGGACTTACAATACACAGAAAAATCATTCGGGTTCTGCGCCGTAGAACACCCCTTTTGCAACTCGGCCGTCGAGCTCATATTCACCCTCACCGCGTCGCTGCCAAAGAAACTGTGCATGTGGCTCTTGTACTGGCCCGGGATGACGATGGGATCGATGTTCTTGCGCATGAAGAAGTCGACCTTGGTGTTTGTAAAGGCTGCCGCCGGGCCTATTGTTGTTGCTGCTGCTGCTGCTGCTAAGAGCAGCACGCGCCTGTCTGATGACTTCATCCTTTAATTTTTCGTCTCTGTTGCGTTGTGATCCAAGCGAATGTGTATGTATGTAAAGTGAAAAAAGACAAGAGTATGATCAACGATAGAAAGCGAGTGTACGTTGAGGAAATCGTCGCTCTCTACCTCCTTCTGGTTATAGGAAAGGTCCCTGGCCGAGTAAGAAGAAAAAAAAACCGGTGGGCGCAACGGCGAGTTTTCTTTCTTCTCTCAAAAGAAGGGGAACAGATCAGACGAACTACAAAGGCCACTTACTCCTTTAAACCTCGAGCCTAATTACTCGACTACCCATTTACCTTTGGATGCCCATGTATGAGTTAAACAGCAAAGGCTCTCACAAACTTTGGTTATTACGATATACATCCCGGTCCTGACAGGAAACACAGCGAGGGGATGGATGGATGGATGAATGGATGGATGTGTTATGTTACCGGCGGCCTTGGCATTGTTTGAACCATATCCCCGGGCCCCCTCCCCACGAAGTAAAGTTTAATGTACATCAGATGCGCTCCCGTCGCCGTTAGATTTAAACATTTCTTGGCTTTTATTCTGTGGGAACCAGTCTGAGTGACTGACAGGCTACGGACACTCAAGTAGCGAGAGTCCGAACGAAATCTTTCCCATGACTCTATCCCACATCCTGCGAGACCCCTGGAACGTAGATGTCGATCTGTCACTTGGCGCATAGACCAAATAAAAGTCTAGAAGATTCGCCAGACTAGGCGATGAGATTGTGGCATACTCAAATCCGAGCTTACCGAACGGAAAGAAATACATCGGATTCGGTTGCACAAGTTACTCGACTGGAGTAGTAATGATTCCTGTTGTCGACAGTAGATCACCACCGTTAGGGTCGATAGTATGTATATCCCTGGTCACCAAACACTCGAAACCTCAGACCCAACCACATGCAGCCCCTTCTTACGTGCATATAAGGATGTGGGTGGTGTTCCAAACTACTCAGCCTGTCAGCTAGATAGCTTTACCATCTTGCCCTTCAGACAAGTCGAGGCCGTCTAGCTCTGGCGAAAAATAGCTTGCCTTTCGACAAGCGCAAACGCCACTTGAAGTTTACTGCAGTGGTGGCCTTGAAGCTGCACTTGAACACGATTCATAGTATGCACTATACGGAGGTGCAAAGATATTTTGGCACGTCAGACCCGGCGGCCTTCTCGCCCTAAAGAGGGCGAGGAATGGGGTCATTTCTTTAGAATGCTGTTGTACACTAGTACAGGTTTCAGTAGCGACTGTTCGTTTCGGCTGCTTCCCTCATTGACTTTGACGGAGTCCTCGGTTGCAGTCGCTGGAGATGAATCCATCCACATCCCAAACCATATGAACGTATCAAGTGAACCCGAATCCCTCGGTCTCTTTCAAGACGCCCAGAGGAAAGATTCTTTTTCTGAATGACGGACTCCCTCCTTGCGTTACGCCTTTGCTTGCTTCTCATCGTTTCAAAAAAAAAGTCCCCAATCCAATACTTCATGTCGAGCAAATTACGAGTACAAAAGGCGACAAATAAGCCGCCGTATTATGCAAATGTGGCCAGGCATGGGAGACCAAAGGCTCAGTCCTCAATGGCGTTCTCATCGACGGGCTTTGCTGGGCTGGTCATGCCTGCCTTGACATTACCACGGGCCTTCTCCTGACTCTCGACGAACCGATCCCAGTGCATGGGATCAAGTGCTCGAAGTCCCTCACGGACCTGATCGCGGTCCTCGTTGAAGACGCGCATGATGCCCTTTTGTTCAACCTTTCGAGTCAGATCAGGCTCATCAATTTCTTCAATCATCTGGTGAAGCATAGCTGTGTGCTTAGGGTCGAGGCCGACTTCGAGTACACCACTCAATAAGCCATAGTACTCGGGCTTGATGATTCCAGACCGGATCTTGTGGCCGGCCCTGTGCATTCTACCCTCCTCTTCGGCGAGTGCTTTCGAGGTGTGCGACAACGTCGAATTCGTGCGTGGGAGACCAGGCCGGACCGACAAGCCGGTCTCGTCCTCGGCATCGGATGGAATGCTGTGCTGATCAGGGTCCTCCGTCGAGGAAAGCGAAGTGCCAAGTTGGTCACTCTGACTGGGCAGAGTGGTCTCCGATGCCTCATCCGTGGACACACGAGTTTCAGGAAACTCATCTTCGAACCGCTTGATGATGTTGGCGAGTGTGACGTCGAGGAACATCAACTTGCGCAAGTTGTGCTCATCTTCCTGTGGGTTGACTCGAGCCTTGGACAGGGCTGGCTGCAGCCGCTGACGAATCTTGCGGGCGCTGGCCAGTAGATGCTTCGACATGTCCTTCGCCTTTCCTGGAGGCAGCTTCGGACGCGGGCTCGCAGGCACTGGTACACCGTCCTCGAAATCCCGGATGAACTCGCCAGATTGCCTTCTCGATTCATCTCCCCTGTTCTTGAGACAGCAAGTGAGAGCCTTGACGACACCGGTGCCTCCAATGACATAATCGTCATCTGGCGCAGACTCATTGTCCGAGTCTTCTCTGAGAACATCGTGACCGACGAGATGTGCGAGCACATCGGGATAAGGTGGGATTGGGCCGCCTGGCAATGAGTCCTGGGATTCGGCTAGGACTGTTGAAATGACCGCGCTTATGTCGCCAATGGGGAAGCGCTCCATGTTCCGCAGGCAATAGGCGACCACTTGCTTGGCCAAAGCCTTGACAACCTCGCCGGAATTGTCGCTCGGTACATCGATGTCGACACACACAATAGTCTTCGACACACGTGTAGCGGCCAGGAAGGATGCATAGAGGGCACAAGCTTCCTCCTGGGCATCCTCGGTCTTTGCATCTGCGAGTTTGACGAGCTCTGGATTCTCCAGGAGACTGATGTGAGCGAGCATTTTAGCCTCAGGGAGAATCTCGGCAAGCGCAATAGCTTGCTCAGATGTCATAGCGACATCAGCAAGGTGAACACGCCGCAGTCCCTGTAGCTTTGGTAGATACCTAAATGTTGTCAGCTTTATGGTCACGTTGAGTGAATCGATGTGACTTACTTGCGCAAGAGACCAATAGCACTGGGATCTGATTTGCACAGATCCCGGTTGTGAGAAAGGTCGATGAAGCGGAAGTCTTTGAGCTGAGCAAGTGCAGGGAAAATCTTGCAAAGCGAGCCAGGCTTCAAGTTGCATTCAGCCAGACTGAGCGCCCACAAAGAGTCCTTGTCTGAAATTGCATTGGCAATGATGTCGGTTTGATCCCTAAGATCGTTGCCGCCCAAGTCCAGGCCTTCGCATCCGCTTGTGGAAAGATATCTGGCAACATGCCTGAGTCCCTTTTCGTCAATGTTGTTGTGAGCAAGACCAAGTCGCTTTACGCCACACTGAATGATACCGTCTATCACCACGCCAAGGTCATTCGAGTTGAGGTTAGTCTCTCCGAGGTTGAGCAGTTCCAGAGTAGCACCGCCCAGTCGCTCGCCAATAGCCTTGGCAAACAGGGTTGCGCATATATTTTGAGGTTGCTCGTCATTGGAATTGTGTCTGAGCAAGTGATGGCTGTGCCCGTTTCCGATTTGTGCAGGTTGAGATGGTCGGGGGAAGGATATCGTCGAAACGTCGAGGAATTTGAGCGTTCGGCAGAGGTAGATAAAGAGAAACATGTGCTTCCAGCCCTCAGGCCCAATTTTGTTGTTCTTGAGGACGAGCCGTTCGACAAAGCCGCCCTGTGTAGTGAGACCATCTGCCTTGGCTTGCTTCCGCCTCTTCGAATCAGGCTTCTTTGCAGCCAGCAGACCGGCCAATATCACCCTGACGCCTTCATCTGTTAGGCCGCAATTCTCCAAGATGACCTCCTTAACCGGCACAACCGCCAAGTAATCGCCCAGAGTAATCAAGTCAGGGAGCTGCATCCAGTAGCCCGTCAAATCCAACTTCTGCACCATTCCTATGTCGGAAGAGCAATTTGAAGGGCTATTTAATTGTTCGGTGATCTTCTTCAGAATAGGTGTCTCTCTCAACTGGCAACAACGGCGATATATCCTGACTGGATTCGTTGTGGGGGATGCTGTCGTCTTGGGCGTCGCGGCTGGGGTGCCGTCGCTGGAGGAGTCGCTGTCGTCAACGTGGATCTCCATGGGAATCGTGCCGTTAGCCTCGGCTTGTTTTCTCTTCTTCTCCTTCCTAGCTTTCCTCTCCTCTTCGCTCTTCTTCTTCTTTTCCTTCTTCTTCGTGTCTTTCTCCTTATCCGCGGATGCAGCGCTCACACCGTTCGTGTCATCCTCCTTGGCCTTGGCTGAGTCCATTCCCTCCGTTTCCGGTTCCTTTGGCACGGTTTCACCAGTTGTGTGGATGAGGCCATCGCGCTCCTTTTGTTGTTCCAGACTTTTCGGGTTCTTTAGTGCCTCGCCCTCGCCCTTCTCCGTCATCTTCTTCGTTTTTGACTTATCGAGTGGCTTCTTAACGGGCATGTCTGTGTCCACGTACTTGGGCATTGGCGCAATCTCGACATCAACGCTGAATGCAACCCTCCGGAGTTTCGCCTGGTGCAAGTCCGAAATTTGACAACGTTCACGGTTGCGGTCGACGTTCAGAATCTTCCGCTCTACGAGGCCGTGTGTTCCTCTCGTTCCTTGTCCTAGAACACCGCCAGATGAAGATAGTCGGCGGAAGACTCCCAGAAAGCCGGCCTGGCCGCGTCCGGGAGGCGCCGGGGTGTACGGCTGGTCGCCATCGTTTTTAGCGGCGTGTGCGAGAACGGCGTTCTTTGCAGGGGTAACTTTCGGGGGTACTGGGCCAGAGTCCTTTGGCGGTGTGCTTTGTGCTTGCTGATTTGCCTGGGCAGTCTTGCTGTCTGGTGAAGAGGAAAACTTGGAAGAGATGTTGGAAAACCACGAGTTCCGGCGGGTTGGCGGAGTACCGTTGGGCCCTGGTGATTTTTCGTTCGACGGACTTCTGCCTAGAGCCGGTCGCGAGACTGGGATAGGTTTTGAGCCTTCTGTTGTCGTTTTCGCAGTGTCTGTTGCGCCGTTGGTGTTTCCGTTGCCGG